AAGTTGTATGTTGTCATGGCGAGATAGATTATCTTGACAAGTCGACATAGTAAAAATTGTATGTTGTCATGGCGAGATAGATTATCTTGGCAAGTCGACATAGTAAAAGTTGTATGTTGTCATGGCGAGATAGATTATCTTGACAAGTCGGCATAATACAAATTGTAATACTCCTTGATACGCCATGGCAAGCAAGCCAAGAAATTGGAAAATTAAAATAAAGAAATAGACATTAAACGTTTTAAATCAATGACACCTGAATTGTTTCGACCTTACATATACAGTATTAATATCCTCTATTGTAAACAATGTTAAATCTTTAATTTAATTTTTAGGTTTTTCTTCAGATTTAGTAGCAGACAGAATTGGAAACTTAATTCAATCTAATACCATATTATTTAAATAAACACCCTGCTTTGAATAAGCACCCCCTCGAATAAACTCCTCTTCTAGAGAATAATTTGGAATAAACGGCTCCCTTTAATAAACGCCCCAAGGCATTTACTTTTTCCTTAAATAAACGTCTTTATGATCATGCACATTTGAATTATGTTGTAATTCCACATTTACAGCAAAATTAAGGGGCGTTTATTCCAAAAAATACGGTATCTCCCGTGAGGGATTTAATCAAGTTAATGGTATGCAATATTTGCTAATTCAATAGAAGAGGTTACTATCTAATTATATTTTACAATCATAACAAAAAAAATTAGGTTAAATTTAATAATTTAATTTAATTTAATTTTCGTGTATTTTAAAATTTAATCAGATATTTTATATAAAAATACACTTCATGAGGTTATATATTTGTAGATCTTGTTGATAAAAAAATATAATTATTTCCAATGTTTATAGAAAGCTCCAATAACTGAATTATTGAAAAGCTGATGGACTTCATTTAACTTCATAAATGAATGATTGGTACACAGTTTAACTGGATACATTGAAAATGAGCTGGCAATGGCTGGCATATGATGTCTGTCTGTCTGTCTATCTATCTATCTATTCATCTATTTATTTATTTATTTATTCAACTCAACATACACTTTTGTTTCAGCGGCAGACAATAATTTGGTGCGTTCAATGTATAAAATGAGAGAAACAAAAACTACTAAAACAAGTATACAATAGTATAAAGTACTGCATAGAGGTTTCAATCCACTTTTAAGTACAGCTGTACTGTAGTAATACCAATTTAAAAACATAAGGATTATTACATCATTAAAATACATGAGGTAGAGGCATGTAAAAATAATGACCTCTCTTTCCACAAATTTTTTACTAAATACATTCTCATTGTCAAGGATAAAACATATCTTTTCTGTAATATTTAAAGAGTTAAATTTATACCATTATTATAGTCATAGTTGACTATTGTGTGCATAATATATCAAATTTAAATCTTGAACATGTAACTTAATTGTAACAGTGTATATAAATATATAATTACAGTATAACTATATAATTTGAAAAGGTTGATATCCTGATTTATAGAGCTTTTTATCTTTGGTTTTTTTGGTCTCTAATTGTATTCTCTTTTTTATCCTTTTCCATCTATTCAATAGCCTGTGCTCTATTTTACATAATATTTTGCAGTACCATATATAGAAGGCTTGATTTGCATTAATCATGTTTTATCATTTTTTATATACAACATACGAATTCTTACATTTTCTATCAGAGAACAAAAAGCAGAGGCCTCAAAGACCCTTTGTACACAAATATCCCATATACATAGAAAAAATCCTATAACTAATATTGCACAGATCAAAGACTTTGCACAGATGATGTCTGTAATTGAAGTGAGCTGGAGGACAGCAAGTAGAAGTGCGAAGCAAGTTGCCAGGCCAGCAGAAACTAGCCTCTTCTGTTGGACTGCATTGTACGCTGAGACAAACTCATCTTTTACATCTTCTAACAAACTCGGCAAATCAGCAGATAAACTTGGTGGTTCAGTATCTAAAGTATAATGACTAATAATTAATTTCTAATAAAAAGTTCCATAATATAAGTTTTTTTAATTATCATTTACATAACCTGCATAACCATGTCATTTATTGTATCTCATTTTTCATTTCATTTCATTAATTTCTATCAACAAGTACATATACAAAATACAATATACAGTACATTAAAACAGTAAAACAAACACAAAGAGGAAAACTGGGTCATAAAAACATTAAAAGAGAGAGGAAAACCAAAAACCGAACTGAATCTACTATCAAGTGGTTTCCCATAAAAAAAATGATACAATAAATATAATATTGTAAAACCTCGAAATGAAGCCCATCTCGACTGTATGTGAATTTCAGAAAACAAAATAAATGAAAAACAAGCTTGGTCCAAAGGCCTAGTTGTGCTCCCATACATTGAAGGCCTTTTCAGAATGCATGTTTAGAGTGTGTAAAAGACATGGTTTTTCGACAGCGATGAAACCTCATTGCACCATCCGCAACTTACTCGTTCATCCGAAGAACAAACTTTCCCCTCAACAAAAATTAGATGTAGTGTATGAAATCCCTTGTGCAGACTGTCCTAGATCATACGTAGGTGATACGGGTTGTCCCTTTGGCATCCACAGTGAAGAACATAAAAACACGACATACTCGGCAATCATCCTCTTCAGAACAATATAAATCTGCTTTAACAGAACACGTTTCTTTTACAAATCAGTTGTTGATAGAGAATCGGACAAAATCACGAGGTGGCTCAAGGAGCCCATCTGGATACGTAGAAGGAGGGGGAGACATACTCATCAAGGACGAGGGGCCTACAAACTGAATAACATCTTCGACCAACTCATCGCACCCTCAACAGCATATTCTTCAAATAACCATAAGAAGAAGGGTATGAGTTGCCAGTCTGATGAAGTGTTGTGGTGAAACGTCACTGATATATGTGAGTACAATCAACAATATTTTTTCGGAATTGAACAAATGAACGTAGTTCAATTTTGTGAACATTCCAAATGACAATTTTCAAACATTTTCAAAGCTTGGTTTATACAGTAGTTTAGGTGATTTAATGCCATTTAAATACACTTCATGATACAGATTGATGTTACAGTGGCCTTATTTATTATTTAATAGTACAAATTCACAAAATTTACAGCATTCATTTTGAAAAGAAGCCCCCACTTTACTTTGCAAAAGTAGCCTCGAAAAGAAGCCCATCCAAAATCCCAGGGCTTTAATTTGAGGTTTTACGGTACACAAATACCTTTAAATATCCATAATAAAATATATTAATAATAATGACTAAAAATATAATTTTCAATAATAATAATGATAATAATAATAATAAAATACAATAATCTATATAATCCTTTTATTTAGAATCAATAATAATAATAAATAAATAATAATGATAGTAGAATAAACAACAATAACAATAATATATTAACAATTATGATAGCAAAAAATAGCAGCAATTATGTAATGTAATACTATTTATAAAATATTTTTTAATATCTGGCCATTACACATATGTAAGTGGCACAGGCACTTTTATATATATTAATATCTAACCAGTTCTAACCAGTTAAATCAAATCTGACCTTTGCAATACTGTATTTCCAAGGTGGCTGACAGGGCTTCGTGATCAGATGGACTGAGCGCTGAACCCGGTATCTTTCGCATCACCAAACGAGCATCTGTGCACTGCACCTTGTAACTATGGCAACCATTGTACATGATGTAATCAATGCGCATTCCATCTTGAAACTTTTCATAAACTCGTTTATTGAGATGTGTGTAATAATTGCAATCTCTTTCGCAAGTTTCACCACTACCATCCTTGAATAGATAAAAGAAGCCTGTTGAGAGCACACTTAAACTAGAAAGTGAAATAATCATGTCCACCTCTGGTGGACAATTGCCTTGCTCAAGGAAACAAGCAAAATGTACATCAAGGGACTGAAACCCCGACCTCGATGTTGGGAAGCCAAACATTTCCCGCTGCGCCAAACTATATTATTAGTACTAACAACCCTGGCAATGATTCACTTTAGTTACTCATTTGGAAAACAAGTACAATAATAATACAACAACAATAATATCAGCAGCACAAGAATATAAATGATAACAATACTAATAAAATAGATATTTATAAAACACCACCATGTAAAACTGATAATAGCATATAATACAACAAAACCCTAAAATATTTTCTATAATTATTCCTAGATGTCCGCACAAACAAATCACCACCTTGCTTAGTTTACCACTAGCTTTTAAACACAATTACAACAAATACAGATCTTTTGGACTTTTCTGAAATGAACTTACATCAGAATTTGGCCTTTCATCCCACACATCTTTCAGACCGGCATTGGCCATCAAAACTTTCTTTGGCAATGAGAAAGGCTCAGAGTTGAAATCTCCCAACAATATATTGACATCCGCCGATGATCCAACTTGCCTTACTATGTTACTGATCTCATAACATTGTGCCAAGCGATGTGAAAACAGTGGGTCTACAAGATGTGAAGGAGTATGGATAGCACACACCTGAAAAAAAAAAGCATTCTGCAAACTTTTAGCCCGACGATCCGGTTAGGAAATTCCAACTTGATTTGCGATCCACTGACCCCTTATCCACTGATACATAAGACAGGAAGAGCTAGGCCTATATCATGCTTACGATATGCAACACATGTTTCATTTGTTAAATTTATATAGTGATATATACCAAAGTCTGAAAACAAATTACGTTATGTTATTGTTTTATTGCTGATTTTTTTTTTTTTTTTTTTTTTTTACTGTTGTATGTTTTTTTGTTCAAATTATTCGAAATAAAAAAAAATACTCAAAATTTAAAAAAAGTCTCAAAGCGCTCGAAGTGTGGACTAGCTCATACAGTAAATTGTTTCCCCACTAAGGGTCTCTGAGTTATCAGGTAAACCGATACCACAACAGAGGCTGTAATGTCCAGTACACCGGGTTACCCCCTGGGCCATGGCCCAAATTGTGTACATTTGGCCTATGGTTTATAGTCCTTATCTGAGAAGACTTGTCCCACCAACCCGACCATAGTTATGCCCTTCGAACCAGCGCCGATATTATGGCCATAGGTTGCAGCGCTCCTGCCTTAACCACTAGGCCATTTGACATTTTAGTGTACTTTTCCTTCCCTTGTCTTTCTATATTTGTTTTTCAACCTAATATGTCTCATTAAATTTTAAATAAATATAGACTTTATACAGTCAAGTTTAACACTGAATATTATTATGAAATGACAAATGTTTCCATGTACTGTAAATAATTGTCATGGTTAGTGACAGAACAGAACTACCAGTAACTGATTTTTGATGCTTTCTCTCAAGTTTGTGACTACCAAAATATTTTGGCGACACGCTGCTGTGCGACGACACACAGTTTGCGGAACATAGGCATAGTATACTTACAGTATAGACACTGAAATCTATCGATACAGAGTAGACATAATAAATGCTCTTACATGAGTGGCAAAAATGTTGATTACAATGCCTTGGTGTTGGATTTTGACCAAGCCTAGCAGTTTCCTAGCATACCAATCTAGCTGATGCACTCTGTATGGAGATGAGTTGATAGAGTAATGGAAGGTGGCTGAATCAATGATTGGACAATTAGAGAATATGCAAACACCACTTCTAACTCCGCTGGATGGGTAAACACAAAATGGAAACAAAAAAACAAAGACGTATTATTAAAAAGCACTAATGCATAATGAATAAATATAATATAAACAAATGAATAAATGACTTATAATAATCAATAATATTAGTATGATATTTAAAAAAATAAATTTGTTATGTGGTAAGATTATGATTGTTATGACGGTATAATTTCAATCAAGAATAAATGGAATTAATGATCGGAACTTTTGACGTGTGTAGATGAATAATTTTATAGAGAATTACTCTTCCAGCTAAATTTATTTTTCAGGGGCCCTCTACAAGATAGAACAATAAATTAGTTAAACAAAAATAAAATATAACTTAATTATATCAAAAACTCATGTTAATTTTCTATCTAAAAATGGTAATTTGTATGGGATAATTATATGAATTAACACAAAATGGAATGCAAGACATTTTCACTAAACAAAATATAACCAAATGAATAGCTGATTTAAAATAACTGAATAGTAGTATCATATTTGAAAGTAGGTAATGTAAAAAAAAATCAAGAAGAGCATACTGACTTCTTGCACTAACCAATACTCTACATTAAAAAAGTTTAAAGCACATCTGACCACCAATTCAGCTGCATACAGGGTGTTTCCGGGACTAGCTTAAGATTGAGAAATAGGGCACCTACTTTACTTAAATTGGACTTATTTAATTTTTTGTCTAGATTATCTACACAGTTTATAAAAATAATAAACCAGGCACTTCATAAAGTACAAACCTCTGCCCTATGCGTAAATGCAGGATAATACTGATCCTCCATGACCTTCACATATGACCTTTTCACCAAAAAATTTAATCACCAATATGTACAGCTTCACATAATTTTATGATCCATTCATTAGCTTTTGCATAATCCTGTTTGTGCTTGCATGTTCATATTTTAATACATGTGGGGGATGGAGACAATATCCATGAAAGGTGGGGAACAGACAATATCCCCAATGAACAGGGGAGGAGGATTTGATGTCCCTGACTTGAGCATAAGTGTGTGGGGCCAGGCGCTGTTCAGGTTTCAAGTCCTAGGAAGACCCAACAATCTAGGGATTTGAAAGGGTTATATCGATCTTAAAGTCTGTAAAAATTTCATAAGAATTTCTGGCTACCCTGCAGCCTTCTACTGGTGCCACCACCACTGGACACAGTACAGAAATGAACTGTCAATTGAATACTTACCTGTAAAAATAGTGTTGGAAAGGATGTGATTGTGCCAGATGTTTACATATCAACTCGTAATCTGATGAATGAATGACCTTTCAAGACAAAAGAAATAAATGATTTTTTCCTTCAATATTCATTTCATTTTCACTTTATTTTGGAATACCTCCATATAATAATTATACAACAAAAAATGCAAACACCACTTCTAATTCTACTATATGGGTAAACATAAAATGGAAACAAAAACAAAGACGTATTACTAAAAGCACTGTGATACTAATATAAACAAATGAATAATTGATTTATAATAATCAATAATATTAGTACGATATTTAAAAAATGTATTTATGTGGTAAGATTATGATAGTTATGACGATATAATTTTAATACGAATGCATTTATTACTTGAGTGCAAGCAATATTTTTCTGTTTTTCAATTTCGTTATTCATCCTTTTTAGACATTTGTTCCTAAACAGCAAACTGTTGACATTTAGGTGAAAATCTCACTGCACCATTCAATGGAGAATGCAATGGCAGGACGCCCGTGCAATGGATCATTTTTAAAGACGATCCCTTGAGACTGCCACCGATAATGAGCACCGGGCGTCACATACTTTAACGCTCACAGGGAGCGGAGTTGGATTCGTCGGTCTACGGTCGTACAACCATAGACCGACGGACAAATTTAATTTACAGGAAACAACTATGAGACTTTATTGGTTTGTTTGAATTCATTTAAAATCAAATTTACAAGGACAACAACATTCACTTTCTAATGAAATGATAATTTATACCTTATTGGTAACATACTATATTGTATACTGAATTGGAAAGAGTAAACTTTACCTCTTGTAAAGCAACAACATCATATTCCCCTTTTGATAATTCTTCTGCAATATACTTAAATCGAATACGTCTATCCCTGGTAACAAAAGGTACGCCCCTGCCAAGAGAAAGAATAAAAAATAGGCATTTTAAATATTAAATCAACCTTGATCATGCTCAATACATTTATTTCATTTCAAATATTAATATTGCAAATTGGATTCTTTTACAATTGAACAATCATCTTTCACAGCAAAAAAAACCCAACTCGCAAAATAAACTAATGAATTTTTACAAATGAACACCCAATTTTCAAATTGTACGAATTTGTCAAATGAAAAACATACTTAATATCAAATGAATACATTTGTTAGTAGTAAAGATTAAATGCAAACTAATGACATTGAATGAGTGTTTCAGGCTGAGTGGCTGAGGAGTAGCCTAAGCCTTAACATCGGCGCTGGTTCGAGCTGCTCCTAACCCAGGGTTTGCTTGGTACAATGAAGTCTTTTCGGATAAAGACTCACAACAGGAAGACCAGTGTTACACATCTGTTGTATGTGCACTTTAAGGAACCCATTGAATTTTTCAGAAGAGTAGGGGTTACCCCAATGCTGTGGTTCACTTCAGCGTCTGTTGTGGAATGATGTGAACTAGAATAGCTTTCCAGTGAAGATAATTCAAGGGGGGGCCCAGCCGGCCTGCCTCCTCCTCGTTAAAATTATAAAAAAATTAGATACCGAAGAAAAGAAAATTATATTTAACGTCGGAGAGTGCCATTTCCAGCCATTTACAGGTACCATAAGCATACATTTTCTAACCTCAGCCCATGGTGGGGCTGAGGTAATATTGACACCATACGTGAAAGTCTCCAGGCCTCAACTATTTTGGATTTCTGGATCCAGAAAAATACAATACTGTACAGGCACATTAATAATTAGGCTGTCCTTATGTAATTGAAGGTATGTCTTCTACTTAAGTTTTGTTCATTTGAGAACAAATTTATAAAAATAAATGTAAATTTCTAAAATTTTTTTTTAAGATGCATTATACAAAAGCCTCTCAAAATGGAAGGGTGACAAGACAGATGAAACTAGGTTTCGGAAAAATTTTTTCTGGTCACCCCTCCTGCAAATGTCTGGATCCACCCTGCTATTTTTGTAATTCAGTATTTATCTATTTTCCAAAATCACAAAAGTATTATAGCCCTACAAAACAATGGAAAAAAACCTGCAAGAAAAAAGAGCTAAAAAAGTGTAGAATAGGAGTTTACTTTTGGGGCCAAGTCGACTTGTGGCCAAGATTTTTTTTCTCTTTTTTGGTAAAGCCACATTTATTCAGAATATTATTGAAATATAAAATACTGTACATTCACATACAAAATAGTTAACTTCCCTAATTGGACTAGCCTAACTCACATAATTTCTAAGTCGATCTTATTGCGGTATGAAACAATTTTTCAATGCCATTTTATATTCGGCTAAAGGTAGATTCACACCGAATTTGGTTTGTACAGTATGGCTAACGGAACGAAAAAAGAAAATCTAATCAGTGGTAAGAATAGAGGCATGTACTAGACGCGCATCGAAAACGTTCTACAAATTTCGGTTCGGGTGTGAATAAAAGGTAGATTTACACTGATAGAATTTGGTTTGTATAGCTAACGAAACGGGAAAAGAAAATTGAATCAGTGGTAAAGAATAGAAGCGCGTACTAAGACATGTACCGTAAACATTCTTTGAACCAAATTCGGATTCGGTGTGAATCTACTTAGGCAGGTTCAACTGCAAAATATACTGTAGGCCTACATGAACATTTGATTTGATTTTCAAAATAATGAATCAGTATTTCTTAATTTTTACAAGCAATATATTTTCATATCAAACTTCTGGGGGTTTTTTTTTTCTCTTTCCTGGCAAAGCCACATTAATCCACAATATTATTAAAATAAATATATGTAACAGTAACGTAGCCGAGTTGTTGATGTGGGCCGCGTTGACCTGTTCCCCATAGGCCTTTTTCACGAATCGGTAGACATCTTGAAGTGATGACAAACATTGCGAATCAGCGGTGCGTAACCAACAGAAATAAGGTAAGCTTTTGGGCGGATTTTTTGACATCATGTTATTTAAAAATCATAACTCTATAACGGGGCGTCGTATCAAAAAAAAATTTCCAGCAAAATGTTCTTAAAAGACTAGTCTACACCACTATATGACTAAAAAAAAATTGAAAAATTTTTTTGACCTCTGAAATCAAGATTGAAAAATAAAAGCCTATCTCAGTAGTGTATTAAAATAGGTATATGCATTACAGTGCTGTAGTACTAGTAATACTCTGAACTAGCATTGTTTTAGTTACCATATGAGAGTTTCCTGTGTTAAAAACATGATTTACTATACTATACCTCTTTATAAAACATAACTTGTACTTTGTAATAAAAGAAATATGTATATTATCGCTACTTGGAATAGTAACAACACGAAAGTCCTATGCTACTGCACTGTAATGCATTGGCCTATTTTAATACACTACTAAGATAGGCTTTTCTTTTTCAATCTTGATTTCAGAGGTCAAAAAAATTTTTCAATTTTTTTTCAATCATATAGTGGTGTAGACTAGTCTTTTAAGAACA